TTGCTTCAATCAATAAATCAGGCTAATGCACTCGCAGACATCCAATAGTGTTCATTAAACCGAGGGGACTGTAAAGAAGACAAGTAAACTTTGAGATATGAATGAAAATGTAATATCAACGTCTACAAAACTCTTAATGTGAGGATAGTTTGAATTTAAGCCGTGTTTTTGGCTGCCAGTTATGTTTCAGTACTACCACTCCTCAAACCTCAAAGTTAGGTCTGTTTATTGAATATTAGATAAATAACAAAGCTGTTTAGGAAAAGCATCATAAATATGACTGATACAACTGGAAAAATTACCTTTAGTCCCAAAGTCATTGACTGTAATGTCTAGAGCCTTTTTAGATTGTCACGTCAAACTACCACAAGAGGGCCCTACATGCATTAGTGATAAAATAGCAACACTAAATCTAAATGATTTATTGGATCTCATTTAAAGGAAGAAGGACTACTTAAATCCTCAGAAGTAGAGAACCCGACGTAGATTAATACTGCAGATGAAGACCTGCAATCACATTTCTACTTCAGTGGGCAATAATAGGACATGTATCATATAATCAATTATTCATTATTGTACCTCAAACTAAACACCACTATCTTTATATCAGTTAAATTAAATGGTGCTACTTTGTATACATTTTTATATGATCACTGAATGCGTAATGTTATAGTAATCATTCATTTGAACTATCAGGAACAACTACATTTTATAACATTAAGCCTCATATTACAGTATTAATATTTTAGTGATATTGCCCGGTCATACTTGGAGTATAAAAATAGTAGCAGTAAAATTGTACTTAAAAAAACAACAACAACAACAACTTGCATCTTTGTTTTTTTCTTGGTGCTAAGTAACATCAGATCTCAGAGGTGTAGTGTAGTTAAAAAGTTCAGTATTCAGTATTTCTAGTTTATGTACAATGGAGCAAAAATAATGAATGAAACTTGAGTGACATTTTACCAGAGAGTAAACACCTGCTTTTTTTTTTTGTCCTTTCCACACTCGCCCAGGACGCAGCCAAAGTGTGCCGTGGATTCATGGAAAGAGAGCAAGGCGAGGTCCGTTTCTCCTCCGTGGCTCTTTGTCACAGTTAGATATTCGATGGGACAACGCCACCGAATTGTAAACCAAAATGTCCTAAAGTGTTCACATGGCAAACACAATCAGCAGCAGCCCCCCCCCCCCCCCCCCCCCCCTCATCACGACCTGTGGACAACACATACATCTGCAGACACTATGCACTATAAAGCACATCTTGTTTCCACACGTTGTACTTTCATCTCATGAACAAAGCTTTCTTTAGCACATGTACACACAAACACACCATCCAAACATGTTTCTGCTTTAAATAACTGATACAAGCTTGTCCAAACCTTTTTTTTTTTTATGTGAGCTATCATTCAGCAGTGAAAATTGTAAAACATGAGGTCCGATCTCACCACCGCTTTTGTGTGCATGTCTGTATTTGTCTTTTTTGCTACTATTTATATATTTTTTTTTGTGTGTAATCATTACTGCATCAGTTTTCAAACTCAAGACTGATGCTTAAATACCGTTTGTGCCAATAATGACAGTAAATGAGCGGGGGAAGGATAAAGCAGGTTGCCCATTTCTCTGAATGCCTTCAGTTGTGGTTGAGTTCATAAGGGTCTGACATTCCTCAGAACAGCCCAAATGTATCCGTAGGAATAATTTCACCATTGTTCGGAGCGTGCACGCAACCTTTTGAGTGGTGTTCTTGGGTGTCACTGACATTTCTCTGGAAAAAAAAGAAACAGGTTTGAATTTAAAGTGCAAAATTATAGTGATGTATTACAGTCATTTTCTTTGTCTAGTTTACGTATGTTTAAAAAAACAAACAATTCAGTTGTGTTTGCACTTTTATTTGAAAATGGCTCTTCAGTTAACAATCCACAAATAGTCAAATACATGATCAGTGTGTGCAAGTTTAACTCAGAAAACACAAAAAGCTCCAAACACGATCGGGAACCATCAAAGTTAAAGTGCTGCTCTTTGAGTTGTTGTCGTGCAGTGCAGGCTGATAGTACTGTATGTCTAGGCTGTGCACCAATTGTTTACCTTCCTGCACTTTCTAAATACTATGTTGCTGTAGTTCTACTGGTGATGCAGCTGTGGGAATTCAATAAACCATTAAACTTGTGTGTCTCTACTGGTGTGTTTATTTTTATTGGTTTAGTTCTGCTTGCCTTTTTTTTAATGTGATACATTTATTTTTGTTCTTTTATGTTGAATTTAAAGTCTGTAGGTGAAGTTAACGAGCTGGATTAATGTTATATGTTAATATGTAGTTTTAGTTATTTGACTGCCTATATACCTGCTTAAATCAGCAATGATTAATTGATCATAATAAGCAACTATTTATTATAATCGACAATCGCTTCAGTCATTTTTCAAACAGTCAACTACACATCTGTGGATACTGGACTTTGAAGGCATCATTGTAGGCTCTAATTATTTCTTATTACGTTTCATAGATTACATTATTAAGAAAATACTTGGCAGATTAATCAATAATTATTAGAATGCAGCCATAAATCTTTTAATCTGTATCCTTTTCTTGGTTTCCTCCAGTCATCAGTCTACATTTAAACACACACCCATTCATACTTCGGTCACATTAAGGTGATGAAGTGGTTACTGTCCTTCACGTCTTGGGGCTCATCCTGACTCGTCTGGGCTGCCGTCCAGCTTTAAAGGTCTGAAACTGGAGTAAGGACGACTGAAGAGTTGTCAATAGGTTGTCCAGTGACTCAACTCATCAGACCTTTCTCTCTGTTTTTAAAAGAAAGCGTACTCTGTAGCTCAGCGGCATCCACAGAAAGGCCAGATATGAAAACAATATATATAAGAGAGTTCTGGGAGGAAAGTATAGTCGTGTCGTAGTGAGGGCTTTACTTTCATTCAATCAAGTAACATATTTGATGAAATTAAAGGTTTGAGCTCCCGAAAAGGTCACATTTGAACACGGCAGCTTCATTATATTTTGCTCGTGTGTCAGTTTAGTTTGTGGTCATTTGATTCAACCTAACTATATTTGGGAATATGCACCATTTGAGCACAATATCAAGAGAAATAACCACATTTTGACCTTTGACACAGGGCCTTTGTGTTTATGACTACAATAAAACTGCAGTTTATATTGTGCAATGGTGGTGCATTAGTAAACTAATTAAATAATCAAAGCAGAGTGGCGGCCTGCTGTCCCTGTCTGGTAATAAAGTCCTGGGGAGAATGCTTCAAAACGCAGTTTAGACCTTAAAATATGTGTAATTATAAATGATTATAAATAATTAAAGCTCACTGTCTTTAAATGGATGCATAAAAAACATAAGTTAATTGACCAAGTAGATAATGATCATGATTATTTTCCTATTCGTGGTCCCTTTGATAGGCCTCAAACTATTCTTCATTGACTCAAACAGAATAATGAACCTTTGAAGCTCTACTTTATTTATTTACATTTTCTGGCTCAGTTCATTTTAAAGCCAGCAGACTTTATATTGCTCAGGTAGCATGAAGCAGATCTCATCTTCCAGCTGACGCAGAGGGAACTGTGGATAACAGACATCTTTTGCAATCCCCCCATCTTTCTATCTCTCTCCTCTTTCTCTTTCTCTCTCTCTCTCCTATCTCTTTCTATCTCTCT